CAGGTCCTCACCGGACATGGAAGTTTCGGGAGGTACCTGTGTCTGATGGGGCGGGAGGAAACGCCCGGGTGTCATCACTGCGAGGACCACCCTGAGGACACGGTGGAACACACTGTTGCGGAATGCCCTGCGTGGGCTGAGCACCGCCGTGCCCTCAGGGAAGTGATCGGCGATGGAGACCTCTCGCGTCCGGGCCTAGTGCAGGCCATGATGCGGAGCGAGGGGGACTGGGATGCCGTCTCCTCCTTTTGCGAAGCAGTCATGCTGGCTAAGGAGGAGGCGGGACGCGTGAGGCAGCGAAGCGCTGCCTCCTCGCAACCCAGCCATCGCGAAGGACACACCGGGCGTCGGGGATCGCGGGACGATCTCCGGCCACCGTAAGCGCGGGCCTGCGGACGGCGAGCATGGGTGGCTCCCCGTCCGACCAGAAACAGACCCGAGCGTACGGCGCGTCGCGTTCCGCGCGCGCCTCAAAGAGCCATCAGACCACCACAGATGGGGCCCAATAGGGCCGATGCCGATTCGGAGTCGCGGAGAACCTAACGGGTAACCGGGGCTCCGGCTCGACGTGCAGGAGAAGGAACGGGGTGGTTTTTAGTCAGTAAGAGTCTGACACTCCCTTCCGCCTCACCCAGGCGGGAGCAGTCATTCGATGATTTTCCCCCCTTAAAAAAAAAAAAAAAAAAAAAAACCTTCAAATACAAAATAGCTTAGCAACAGCACTTCCTCGTTAAACTTCATAAATAAAGACGATGTATTCAGTCTCTTTTTGTAAAGAAGGGAAAATAATCCAACGACCCCTCTCGCCTTAGGTGCGGTGAGAAGGAGTGTCAGACTCTTACTGACTAAAAACCACCCCGTTTCTACTTCTGCTTCGAGACGGAGCCCCGGTACCCGTTAAGTTCATGACGCGTGCTCCATGCTCGTAGACTGCATCATCGCTTACCACCAAGCGAGATAGTGGTCAAACCTTCTGTAATATATCTGTGGGTCAAACATTGGCCCAGCAAATATATATAAAAAAAGGTATCCGCGGCTCCGCATAACATATGCAGTCTGACAGCAAAAGTCAGGAAGATAAATAGAAATGGTAGTCGACATCCCTAAACCCCTCACATAGTGAATGGTAATTTTACTGGCTCGATGCAAGGCCGCATCCTCGATACGAGAATTGTTTGCCCACTGGGTTACACTAAAATATTACCCTGTTTTCTTCGAAGCCTGTATGGAGTTTATTATAGAAAACGGCCAATGTTACGTAAACTATCCTCCAACTTTTTTAAAGTCGAACAAGAACGGAGGGTCACGTCTTTTTTGCAGTCAAAGGTCACGTGTTTTAGACTTCCCGCCTTCGCATTTTTCTGGTTAGAAAGTAGGTCAAACATGGTTAATTACAATCGTCATCTGGATGGAGAAGCTTAGCACATATGAAGTAATAGAGGAAGAAGTGTTCATGAATCCGAAATAGATTTTATTGATTAATCCATTGTTTTAGTATCATTAACGAGTGATTTGGCTACTGGTTCCTCGTATATTGTTACTTAAAGCTTCTAAAAACAACAGATTGACGTCAAAAGGGTAATAGTAAAGGCAACTGATGAGTGTAAGGTTTCGATTCAAGGTCAATTGTTATTGGGTGTTTCCATCGAAGTTGAATCGAAGTTGTTTGTAGTAAAAGTAATGTGTTGAAAGGTTGATAAATCTACCTTTCTCCTTGTAAAAGCTTTAGTAATAGTTTAAAAAAAATTGAGATATTATCCATTAAAAGTGCATTTTTTGCAAATGACCAGAAAGACAATCTCGATAGGTATTTCAACACAACAAATATTATGAGTATGTCCATAACATAATATTCACTCTCTGCAATAATTATTCTCATTACAAATCGTTCGCATTTTCAATACGAATGCCTTAGTTGAGCTTATTTCAAGTGTGCAAGTACATAATGGCCTACTTCGAGCAGTTCCAGCTCGATTTGAATACAAATCGAGTATAAGTAATGTGGGGTACGTCAGCTCACTCGACACCCTTTGTGAGACAACGTCATTTGTTCAACAAATTCAATGAAGATATATCTCTTGAGAATTTTCAACGACAACTTTATACAGAAACATTATTCTTACGTGTTTGTTTGTTTTAATATTTTTGTTCTTGGTATTGGTTTTGTAATATTGTGGGAAGAATAGTCTTCAGATACGAGATCGTTGACCATTCGAGATTAAATATAAACAATGTCATTGATGTCTTGCGAAGTTGCAAACCGATGTCATATTTAACAATTGGATAAGTAGAGCTGATGATCGAGCTTAGTGGCTTAATCTTGGAGACATCTATATCCAACAGCGAGTAAAGTGAGTTGATGATGATAAAAGTAAGACTTTTACGTGCATCTGTAACCACTTTTGGAACTAAAAAGGTTGAGATCATGTTATAGATAATGACGAATCTTAGAATCTTCCCACTTGACCTTAAAGCAGTTATTAATAGAATTGTATGAAAAATATCGTCAATAGTTGATGGTATCTAACCACTGAACGTGTTTAAGTAAAGAGCTGAGCTTTAAAGTTTTGCCATTAGGCGTTTGGCAAGACTCCAGACATTATCATAGATATGCCAGTAGTTTGCTTCCGTATCCATTCGAATATTACATTTCGTGTAATTTTATATCTTTTCTCTTGTACCTATAACTTCTAACTTAGCATTACCTATAGGCAATGTTATATAGAATTTGTAGTTTGGACCGCTTGTTCTATATTTTTTGGTAAATTACCACAATGGTATAAGTAGTTGATAGCAGAGAGTCGAGAGAGCCTTTATCAATATATGAAGACATGATTTTAAAATTTAAAACTTTCGTATGGTTTTTATATTACTATGATTCAATAGATCATTATGATACCGTCACAGTTAACTTACAAAGACAAATGGCACAATCATTTGTTCTATAACAGATCGTGCCCTAGTTTCGGACAGTTCAAGTGCTGTCCCACATAACTTGGCAACAGAATTGATTATCAAATAGTCCATAAAATGACACACAACCATCTTTTCTTACTGGTTTTCTTAAGATGTTATTCAAATAATCGATTCGGTTACGACTGCCAATTTCTACAACTTTCTGCTAAATCTAGCACAAATATATCGGGGATTGGAGCCTGTTTCAATGAGTAAGTTGTAAACTAATGAATATTTTGTACTAGAAGAAACTTTCAAAAGTCAGAATGATTCATTGGAAATTTGACATAGGCACATGATTTATCAAAAAGATCCGATGTGTTTATCCAAGTATACATAGAAAAAAGTAGCCGAGTAGTGTAATCTGCAAAGAAAAGTACATACTTGTGTAGCAAGTAAAATGTCATGGTTAAAAAGGGCTTTGTTTAATACTGATCAAGTAAATTAGTTGTCATAAACAAGAAGGATGCACTCGAGGGACAAAGTTACACGTGGTCGCAACCGATCGATGCGAAATTATGAAATTGGATGTCATTTGTGGTGACCTTTGCTTACACGTGCTGCAATACTCTTTTCTAATAGTTGCGTTATCCATGGTTTTATCCTCCTCCTTATAAGCATTATTTAATATGACATAATGGAGCCTGCAAATTACGGAGGAATCTGTAATTATGCAAGTTTACCTCATGTGTATAATTGCGATAATCGATTTTATAATGTAGTTTCAAGTTCAATGGTCTCACTGCATGTACCTTTTTTGTAACATCATGGTTTAGTTAAGTGATGTCTAGTCTAGAGTTATGTTCAGAAGCAGCTGCTTGGCTTGTGGCAAGGAGCCATGATGATGATAAGGCTCTATTTTGAAAATTAATCCATCTTGTTATTCAGAATTTTATAAAATTTATCTCGGAAAAATAACAACTTTAAAATATTTAAGCCAATGAAAATTGGAATGCAGTTCCGGTTAGTTATCAGCAGACGAGTCGTAAACAGGGGGTCAATCAGTCACAAACATAAAATCAATGGGTCAGAAGCGGTTATATTTTGTAAACATGTAGGTCTGCTGGACCTTGGTAGGTGTGAAGGTTAATCACGTTGTTGATTGACAATTTGTCTGGTAGTGTTACACGTAAATATTTGATAAGTTCGACCGGAACCAGTGCTTTTGCCCTGGTGGTTGAGGTGGTCGGTAAGAAAAGAGGATTGATTTTAAAATTGTAGTGATAGTGGATTTTGATCTAGCGTACATTCTTTCTCCTGGGCTTTTCCCAAACGCCTTGGAGTTGGTATTGCATGTTAATCAGGCTAAAGTTATTTTTTTACATGAAGCAACTGCTACTTCTTTAGGAATTAATTTGATGTTGTTTTAGTGAACGATATACTTAATACTGAGGAGAAAAACAAATGTTGTTATCTACTACTCATTAGTCAGGTAATTGCAAGTAACTGTTCATTAAGTATAAACAGTTATTTAGCAATTTCCTAAAAAAAACTGAGTCCACACTTATCATAAATTATATGTTACCTTAGTCAGAGTAGAATCTACCGCTGCTTTATTGATTTCTACCTTTTTATTACTGCGGCTTTAGGCCTTGGCATGGTAATTTATGTGCTTATTGACTTATGCAGATGTAAGTAGAAATCATTACTGAATACCTAATTTGTTTAGTGTATTCTGGTATCTGGTCTGATGGCCAAATGTCAAAGACTCAAAGGACAGGTTTCGAGACGCAATTTAGGAATTCCATTCGCTTCCATGCTTGTTATCTTCTTACCAATTTCAGCTGTGAGAGTCTATGTATTTTCGAGATAGTGTTTCGTTAATGAGCGACCTTTTATATAGATTTCTAAAGATACCTTGTCATATTAATGTATTTAGGTTGAATCTGAATTATTTATACACTGATTATTAGGTAGTAGTTGATAATGTATGAGCGTGGTTTCCGATGAAAAAATTAATGCCTCTCCGTTATTTATTCCTTCCTCTTGCTGACACTTCAGATTTATGAACAAATTATTAATTTAACATTTTTTTTTTGTTTCAGACAAGTTCTTGCACATATAAAGAACATACCGGAGTTAATACTGCTGGGCAATGTATCCCCAACAGTCAGAAGACTTCCAATCTTCTCATTGATGGTGAAGCATCCTCGAGGAACCTTCCTGCACCATAATTTCATCTGCGCAGTCCTGAACGATGTCTTTGGTATCCAAGCCAGAGGTGGTCTTTCCAGCAACCTGAACTACGGCTCCGATGTCCTTGGCATCGATAGCCAACTTCTAAGGGAATACGAGAAACTTCTAGACGTGGAAGCGTAAGTGTGAACATTAATGCCAATACAAATTGTTCAAGGTGCAATTGATTGAGAAGCGAATGAATGTGAAAATAAGTAATACTAGTACATTCGAGTGGTAACAAGTCTAACTTTAGTCTATCTGGAATTCATTTGGGTGTTAGAAATTATTACTTTATTGCCATATGACGCAAATTTTTTGAAATGCCTATTGAGTTAGTTGAGTAGCAACTGTAATTCAGTGTTAATTTAAATTTAACACTAACCAAGTTGTTTTTGTTCCCATCTAATGTGTCTATTGGCATACAAATTGATGTAGCTTCTTGAGCGTCGACTATATTTTTAGAAGCACAAACATTTGGGCACTGCGCGTTTATATTACAAATCTGTTAATTGTATCTCAAGGCTGAATAATTTGCACGCTCATACAGTATCAGCGTGTTTGTTTTTATCAATGGAATTTTCGTTACAGTCAGAAAGAGATCGCTCGAGTGCGTAAACTCAGTGATGTAAAGGCACCTGAAGTCCCCATTTACAATGAACACCTCAGACCTGGATTCTGCAGAGTTTCTCTGCCTTTCTTCATGTCAGATACTGAACTGGCCTTCGTTCTAGAGGCTTTGAAGATGGTAGCCACAGAAGGATGGAAAATCTTACCGCAATACGTTGTGAACCCTGAGACAGGACAGTGGAGACACCACACCTGTGCAGTACTTAGGGACAGAAAGTCATTGCACTCACTGAGGTTCAACGACGGCAAGATGACCTCCCACGAAAGAAGAATTTCTGGTTAGTATTCACTCTATTTACATTTTAATGTGTAAACATATGACGTCAATGACTCGAGATTTAATTACAATCGTTTTTATTTCAGGTCCAGGTATTTTCCCACAAACATATACAGAAACTCTTCAAACAGCAAGAAATCTGTTCAACAGAGCTAGAAAACTGGCCATGAAGTGCTCAACAGCTGAACCAGAAGTAACCTTTAACCCACGCATAGACTATCTCAGATGGTTTATGTTACCTAAAGAAGCCCACGACCTTCTGCTCGGTCGATCGGGTAATGTCAAACATATTGTGCCATTTGACCCATCAGGGTACACAGGAGCAAGAAAGAGCCTAAATCTGACAAGGTCTTCCATTACTTCTTCGCCTATATTGGGATCGTCGCCAAGACATTTCAGTCTTTCAGCCATAGACGACTGCCATATATTTAGACTGAAACAGAAAACAAAGTTCTACTCGAGAGAATCAAGTCTACGGGAAAATCATAAAGAAGAAAGTGAAACACCTCCAGTGCAGTTTGCTGTCGGAGAGTCTGTGTCACCACTTCGCATGATACCACAGAACAGACAACCTCAGCTAGTCAGGTCGAGATGCTACAGCTTAGGGTCAGACAGCCCACCAGCAGCACTCAGCGCACAAACAAAACTAAACCTGGGCTTGAAAGAAACCAGTCCCAACAATGTCATAGAAAAATCAAATTTCTGTAACTGTGGAAGTCAAACAGACCTGCAGTCTTTAGATGACCCCATGATCTCACCTAACAAGGCGTTCCCCTATAGTACACAGAGCAGTACATCAGTATCTGACTGTAGCCAAGTAGGACGAACATCGCCGACAACCTCACTAAACTCACAAACCTCAGAAGATATCCAGGCTTATGTCAAGGAAATGACCAGAGAAATAGCGACAGAAATAAAGTCAGAAATTCGTGAAGTCATCTCCAAAGTAGATGATATTTTAGAAAATTCTGATTCGCTCGAACAGTCGAATCTTAGTATGAACTCAATATCTAGTCAGAGCGATAAGAATTCAGTATCAGTCATAGATGTAGCTGAGTATCTCATGGGTATGTCACGGGAAATGGCTTCAGAAGTGAAACACGAAATTCGTGAAATGGTTAATCAGGTGGACGAGATGATATCACCAGATTACACAGGGTCATGTTCTCGAAAGAGTTCTCCACCACAAACAGGTCGACAAAGAATTGGTTCTGGCCCTGAGTTAGGACTGGATCTAAAAAAGGCGCCAGCCAGTTTAAGGAAATGTCCCACTAGTCCGGTACTGCCTCAGTATGACGAAGATGAAAGTCGTTTCTGTAAGCGGTCTCCGAGCACAAGTTCGCCAAAGTCTGCACAGTGTACACCATCGCATGAAGCGTCAGGGCCTAACAGCATTTCATTCAATTCGAGTGAGACATCGACACCTGACACGATCATTCAAGTGGTCACAACACAGAACTCTCCGATCCTCCCTAAATCGCTGAGTTCACAAAAATTGTCGGATGATGAAGCAAGTTGCACTGACGTCACATGCAGACATTGTTCTATCAAGAAAAATTGGTGTCAAAATCCGTCAGTCAGTTCACAGGACAGTGGTATCAACATGACGTTCACAGAAACCGACTCATTTCTAGAATTCGGTAAGTAGACATTATTATGACTAATTTTTTAGACAATAATGGAACCCGGATGAAATCAGTGCGCCTGCTAAGTGGTGTCAATAAATTGTTCACGTCTTGTGGCTCGAGTCGTCGACCCTGAACAGTTCATGTCAATAAACGTTGATTGACGAAAATATTCATAATTTCTGGTGGACGGTGGATTGATGCAAGTTTTAGTAAACATTCATTGATACTACGTTATAAAAATTAAAATTCTGTTTAAATGCGCTATCTCTTAAAACATCGTAAGACGTTCAAGAAGATCGTTCAACGAGGATTTAAAAGCATTTTAACAAATCATTTACAGATTCGACGACCAAGACGAGAAAGTTCCAGGGCAGACTACGGATATGCCAGAAACATGAGAAGAGTGAAGTGCCAGACATTATAGAAGGTGTACCTGTCTGCTCTGGTGACCACGTGCGTCAGACCAAGAGGTACGACGCCACAGACTCCAGCAGAGTTGTATTCGCTGAAGATCCTGAAAGACAGAACAGGTAAGGACACTTATATCTGGAAATTACTTACACTTTAAAATCATTAAATTGTTTAACGATAAAGAATCCATTATTTATGAACAGTTATAAATCAGTCGTTGGAAGGTAAGAGAGAGTTAAATTAAAAACAGCTTAAGTACCTACAATTTAGAACTTGTTAAAGAATGACTTTCACTGCGATAGGTATTGCTAAAATCTAAAATACATTGTTAGGTACAAGGCCCATTACTTGGTTATGTAAAAACATAATATGTATTTATTACCTCCACCCAAAGGAGTTTTAGGCACGTACTTTTGATGCCCTCTATATAGACAATGCTCATAAAGTTCCATTGCCAGTATGTCTATCTAAACTAGAGTAAGGTCGTTAAACTATGTGCTATCCTCCCCGGCGACTTGGCAAGAATTTAATGAAGTTTAAATTAAAACTAAAATGGCGATACCACCAGGGCAGAATTTTGGCAATAAATCAAAGCGTATCCATCCAACCATCTCAAGTTTCTCTACAGCTATTCATTTTAACGTCCAGTTGTTACTTTTAATAGCAATATTCTATATTGTCAGTTGTTTTCTAGTGAATTTTCTTTTGAAAAAGTGGTTTATGATTCATAAAAATTTTGTCTTGAAATAGACAGCGTAAAGTAGTCATCAGAATTTAAAATGTCATAATTTACGTACCTCAATAAAGTTGTTTTTTAATTAAATCATAATATATTGTTGCCAACTTATCCCAACATACTTATACAATATCTACAACCACAAAAACAAATTTGGTTACCAGTAAAAGTGATTTAAAGTTAGATGAAACTGCTCCGAAAAATCTGTTTGTTCGCCCTTTCTAATAACTCAGTCATTGTCATCACATCTGATTGATCTCAAGTTCAAATCGTCAGGCGCCATTTTAAGTCTATCACCAATTTGCAACATTGTAAGTGGGTCAATGCACTTGACGACAATGCGTAGAATATTCTAGTCTAATGCTTAAATAGTGTTTATAACATGTCAAGTACATGCACTTGTCTGTGCGTTTTGTTTAATTTATGCTAACGATCACGCCAGTTTTCCGATAGCCTCTCCTATCGATCACAAAATTCATAAACACATTACTCTTATCGTGTAGGTACCTAAATATTTAATGATTGAAATTTGTAACACGTATTTTTGTTACACTTTAAGACAAAAAGTAGGTACTGAGTAGATCTACTGGCAAATAAATAGGCACAGAGTACTTAAGACTAATTTCGGGAAAACACGTGATTTTTTATATTGAAAATGCCGGAGCCGGTGGCAGAAGCTAGTTAACACTACAAGCTTCTTCATGAGACTTTGACTCTCAACAAGACCCGTTCCGTAAAAAAATCCAGAGTATAACATTTTTACAAAATTTCGTGGTTTCTCTCTAACCCTCGGTCTCCTGACTTGTTCTAGGGCCACGACGGCAGTGGACTCAAAGCGCTGCAGCCGTTCCTCCAATGCGTCCTCCAGCTGTTCTGATAGAAGTTCTCGATCCAGTGGCTATGGCACAGACCAGAGGACACATGATGAACGGTTTTATGATAGGAGGTTAGTTCTACACCAAAACAATTGTTACAAAAAGTTTTAAGCATAAAAATCTGTACCACCAGGGGAGATAGTGGTCAAACGTCGGCCCATCAAATATAAAAAAGAACACTAATTTACAGATGTAATTGTATTAGGAGTTAGACTTCGTGTATCTATAAGATAAAATACCTGCCAATAAAAAAAAACAGTCGTATTTGAACGGACTCACTCACTCACTCACTCATACATCGATATTAAAAATTAACTCTGCTTGTTGTTACATGCAATAATATTACAAACCTGTACCTGTAATTTTGATACTTAAAACTCCGAGATTAATCATCTGTATTCCTAGGTTTTAACCAAGAAATACCCTTTTATTCTCCAGTGAGTCAGAGTGCCCAACGTTCAAGCCTCACTGGGAGGAGGAGAGAGAGGAACATGAGGATAGTAGCGCTTGCAGTGACGCGTCCCTCACGGACCTCACCCTGGACGACGACAGCAACTGGCACTGCCCTCCTAGGGCCGTTTGGAAACCCACTGTTGAGGTATAAAGCTTTTAAATATTTCATCAATGTTATTTTCATTCAAGACCGCCTAGCCTTTGTGGTACAAATTATTATAATATTAATCGTAAACGTCTCAATTGTAAGATTCATTGCTGGTTTTAAATACTGTAAAGTTTCCTTTATTAGACTTGAGTCTAAAAAGAAAGTATCATCACCAGCCCTTTTCCGTCCGCTTTCGGACATAGACCTCTCCAATAGCACGACATGGGGCTGAACCTTCTGCTCTTCAAAAATAAACATATCAAACTCGACAATGAATCCTTTCGTCAAAACAGAAAATACAGAGCAAAATTCATAATGAAAATCCTTTCTAAGCTAAAGTCAAAATCTTGCATTTCAATTAGAGAAGAAACGCACTTTTGAACATCAATCAAAAATTAAAAGTTTTTGAGCTATTTTCTCATTCTAAGGTATCCATAGGTTATATACTCCAATATTTAAACGAACATAATAATTATACTTAATTAACTTCCCTTTGCAGGCAATCCACGAATACAACATGATCAGGCCAGGAGACAAGGTGCTGGTGTGTCTGTCAGGAGGCAGCAGTTCCATAGCACTCCTGCACACCATGCATCACTACCAGCTCTACTGCAGGGCCAAGGGCATACACTTCAGTATTGGTAAGATATTATCTATATTTTCTTGCAAACAATCTATCAGTGATCAACAATAAGGCAAACTCAAAGTTTTCAAATTAAATCACGTTAATGCATCTATAGTGTGCATAGGGTGGTTTGCAATTTTAATATGTAATGGAACACATGTTATAACTATAGGCCCAAAAGCACCGCAAAGTATAGGAGTAGTTTTTGACTGCACGGTTGGTGCGGTGGCTGGGCAACCGGCTGCTGTGCAACGTGTCGCGGGTTCGATTCCCGCACGGGACAACACTTTGTGTGATCCACAAATTGTTGTTTCGGGTCTGGGTGTCATTGTGTATGTGAACTTGTATGTTTGTAAACGCACCCACGACACAGGAGAAAATCCTAGTGTGGGGCAAAGTATTTAAAAAAAAAAAAAAGTTTTCATTGCAATAATCCATATACTGGCACGTCTTGCACTTGTCCGTCAGTCGATTCGTCTTTGAAGCTAGGTGCCTATTCCGAAATTCATATTTATATGAAGAAGAATGAGGAAGAATCTCCATCGTTTTTTACCTTACAGAAATTTAGGTAAATTCATGACAACCCCACACATAATAAAACGAAATTAGATCATATATCCATTGATAGATTTTGTAAAAATCGAACATTGAATAAAAATAAATACTCATGCTGTTTCCATCTCTTTACAGGAGCTTTGTTTGTACATGAAGCGAAGTCACAAGTAGACCCTCTCCATCTGATGGCGTACTGCAGGACACTTGGCGTCAAGTTCATCTACGAAGATAAGTTTGAAGAGGATGAACCAGAAAGTAAGTAGAGTAGTACCTATCAGAATAGATATGCTACGAAAGGGAAGATTTTCAACTTTCTTTTTTTTGAGGGGGAAAATCATCCAATGACTTCTCCTGCCTTAGGTAAGGCAAGAGAGAGTGTCACTCTTATTGCCTTAAAATCATCCCGTTCCTACTCCTGCACTTCGAGCCGGAGCTCAAAAGATTTGAACTTAGAAAATATTATGTTGTAGAATTACAGAATGCGCTTATGAGAACCAAATCGTTTCCTATTCATGACATGATAATTATATGCGGTTACACTGAGCTATCTCGTAGCAAATTATTTCAAGGTTTTACCAACAAAAAAGGAGACCCTTAGCTATGAATGACTCCTTTCGGTTAAGAATTAACCACTAAGTAATTCGTAGTGTAACAATCGAAAGCATAACATGTCTGATGTTTTTGTACAAAATTCTTGCGTTACACTCATCCCTTTAGATGCAATACCAGAGTAATGGCCACTATAGCAATTTCCTTTACTTTTCAGATGTAATTTGCAACAATCCATGGAGCCTAGCAGCTGAGGCGACTCGTTGGTCGTGTCGTAGCACTCGTAAGCGCGCTATTGCTACGGCGCTGGCGCACGGCTACGGCGTAGCAGCGCTCGCGCAGCACCTCGACCGCGCTGCTACGGCATTCGTAGCAGCCGCCCTACATGCTGGGACACTCAGGACCTTGAAGCCACATTATACTCTACGGTAAGGCTTACAAAATTAAATAATCATGTAATTATGAGTATGTTCATAACCGGTGTCTCGAGGTTCAGAAGTAATATGTCAATGTGATCAAAAAATGTCGTTATGTTTTGGTAAAGTGAAATCCATTACTATTTCAAATCTAACACACAAGACCGAATAGTCTACAATATTCACTAGTGTTGCAAATTTCAAAAAAAGGGAAATTGAACGTCAATATCGTGAAAATCGAATTTCTGGTACTTTCTCGGCTGTGACGCGATTAATTAATAAATCAAATTATCAATCTTTTCTTCTAAAAAATGTGTATTATAGCATAAACTTATTTGTTTCCAGCGACCACGACATCCGTATAATCCGACCGTTTATCTACGTGCGCGGGCGCGCGCTGGCTGCGTTCTCCTGCGCGCGCGCACTGCCGGACTTCCGCCTCGCTCCCCACTCCCCCCACTCCCCGGACTCACCGCCCAACAGTCCTGCACATAGTGACGACAACGGGGATAATGGGTAAGCAGACACTATACTCATATTAATAAGTGTAATCTCTAACTAACTGTAGACTCCATGGTTGGCGCGGTAGCTGGGCAACTGATTGCCGCGCAACGTGTCGCAGGTTCGATTCCCGCACGGAACAAGTCTCTGTGTGTTCCACAGATAGTTGTTCCGGGTTTGGGTGTCATGTGTATGTGAACTTGTATGTTTGTAAACGCACCCACGACACAGGAGCAAATCCTAGTGTGAGGCAACGTTTTTTTAATCATCCATAAATATTATTTAAACTGAGTTCAAAATGGGAAATGCTTCTCAATTCTCATTTTCGTGGTAAATCTAATCTAGTGTTTGCAGCTGTGATTGTTCATGAACGTAAAACTTTCTCAAACATCACTTTGTTTTGTAACAAGAATTACCATTAATAAAGATTCCCATCCAAGATATCCTACACAATATAGGTAGTATTTCGCAGGTGTAACGATGGAGGGATCTTGAAGTAGGCAGTAAAAGTAGTCTTGAATTCTTAGATTGTCATTTATTTAACAGTCATTTGGCATAATAAAGCTAGATAACATAACATAACATCACGCCTTTTACCCCCCAAGGGGTAGGCAGAGATGCACATTATGCCACTGTATAATGTAACACCCACTTTTCACTATTTATGTTATGAGTCCCATGTAATAGGGGGTGAGCGTATTGCCATATCGGGCACAGTTCCAGACTCCGTGCTACTACTGAGAACTTTTTTAACCCAGTAATACTTTGCCATACCCGGGAATCGAACCCGAGACCCCTTGCCCGGCAGTCGCACTTGCGATCACTCGGCCAACGAGGCAGGCAACGAGGTAAAGCTAGATGTGTCGTACAAATGTAACGATAAATAAGAACAAAAATATCTACATCTATCTATCTACAACTTCTCTTTCTTCCTTTCAGTAAAGACAACATCCTGGACGAAACGTTAACCGAAGCTTGTAGCTCATCAGCAAAGCAACTGACACAAGCATCAAGTGAGGAGTTACAGAACAAGATCCTGGCAGCCTCCCTGGCAGAGCCTCTGGAGAGTGCTCGTGACCTCCTCGCCTCCCAGGAGAGGATGTACCCGTACCTCTTCACTAGCCTCAAGAGTGCGTTACGTCCTCTTTTTAATGGCAGGTTAGTTTTATTATTAAAGGTTTGATATGAAAAGCCTGGGTATTGGGAGAGGCGAGATGTTAAGCCCTTAACTGCCGATAAAAACTGTTTAAGGCTCCGCTAGCATCAGACATCATTGTCCGACACAGCATCCAATGTGTTAAAACAATTTAAATAAATACGAAACATTTGAATTGAAACCGCCTACTAAATGAGATAAATTTCGAAACCGAAAATACTTAATTTGGGCCTCTATTCTCAAATGAACTTAATTTTAAAGATCATATTATAATGTTACTAAACCACAATTTCTTTACAGAGACCTGAACAAAGATCAGAAGGAGCAGCGTCACAGAAAGAAGTCAGTCATACAAATGAGGAATGGAGCACCTGTGTATGACTCAGACGAGGACAGTGAGGAAGAACTGCTTCCGTAGGCGACTGCCACCTGCCACAGCTGTCTGCCACCCGTGCCAGGGTGCCAACTACTCTAGAGTGCCAGATGCCAAACATGCCAACTATTACTTACAACTATATATTGATTCAGCTACACGATGTAATTAAAAAGGTGTTATGCTCCCATTCAGAAATGATTGCAAGTCAATCTACTTTAAACTATCGTGAAGATTTTCAAGTTTACTATTTTGTATTTAAAGTCGAAAATCTAATGGCACATTGGAGTATTTTGATTTGCAATTATACTCCATTTTTATTACTCCGTACTAAACATACAGCTGTGGACAGGATTTGGTCACTACAGAGCGTTTTCTAGCCTTTGCGGGCTGTCAAATTGAGCTGGTAAAATGTAACATGGCCTGTCAAAGGCAGCTGTCATGTCACTTTATGTGTTGCCAGTTGAAAAATGTGTTCTGCGTATGTAAGGAAGCAAGGGTGGATGTAATTCACCTCGGGAGAATGTTATATATTATGCCATTTGGCAATTTTTTGGTAGTGTATGTTAGAAGTCGGCTCGTGATTTCTCAGTGATTGTTTTACTTGTGATCAACTATGTTATTGTATGCGGTAGAATGTTTGTGGCTCTATAAACGATGATTTTTTTTAATATTGATGTTGGGACATTTGGAAAATTTTAATAGATGTTCGATTAGCATAGGCCTAAATATAATATGGCCTGTTAGTTTCGGAGACTTGTTGCAACAGAGTCACTAAGATTCCTCCGCAAAATATTCTAGTTTGTAACTTAAGAGTGAGTGTACTTTTTGATTTGACGTTGAGTAGATTCAGGGTTGCCATGTTGATAATATTTTGTTACTAATAAAATGGTACGTTTTTTTATTGTAATGTATAACTGTGGAATTGAAAACAAAGTGCATTTGTTACAGTCTGTTATTGTAATTAAGAAATATATTTTTCAATGTTGTTGAATGAATCGAGATTGTATGAAGATGAAATATAAATGTATAACGTGGTCTATTTATTCGGTTGATGAGAGTTCAAGAAATATATCCAAGTGTTTATTATATACCGATTTATTTTAGGTATATGTTGAGTACCTACGAAGGTACATATAACTATTTTGTGTAATGTAGTTATGATAGTAGATGTAAAAGATTTAATTATACAAGTTTACAAAGTAGCGAGTATGAAAGCTGTTATTTGTACAAACTTTGTAGTTATCGTTTATTACGCTTTTTATAAAGATATTAATTTGCTTACCGCAACAGTTTTGCCTGTATTATATTATAAACAAGTTTTTAACTACATTTTTCTACGAGTGTGAATGGTTATTTTGTAGTGACATCAACAATCACTTTCCGATGGCATTATCCTCCTTTTTGACGTAGTTGGGTAACGAGGAATATGGCTGCTGATGTGAGACTGAATTTCGAATGTTGAAAACTCATTTTTTAGGTTATTTTTTTCTTTAAGTTTTTTTGTAATTATTATTTTTCTGCGTCATTATGTAACTATCTACTTATTATGTCTACGTTTTATATTGCTCGTGTATGCAATTTTAGAGTTTAAGTGAAATTCCTAAGATTGGGATGAAACTAGAAATAAGTGTGAATTATAATATTCTTGAAACAACAAGTCCCATTAATTGCTTCCATGATATAATTATTGTATTCATATACATATTGTCGTATGAAATAAAAATATGTTTTAATGATTTTTGTGTTTTATTTTGATATTCGCGTTTGTAGTAAACCGCTTAAATGCACCGATATGAAACTCAATAGAAAATACACTGCGTCTCGCGGTGATCCACGTTTAGACACACGACGGGTTAACCCACTTGAAACTTATTTAACTATTAAAACTTAATTTTATTAGGAAGAAAGAGTAAATCAATGGGGATAGTAATTTCCTCAGTTAAAAGACAAAATCATTTACGGTTCTATCAAATTAAATATTCACAATACATATTCGCCTTCAATAATTGAATAGTTATACGATATACTTACTATTAATTTTTTATATCCTTTTGAAATAAAATATATCAAGGGTTTTTTTATAAGAAATAAAATATTTAAGTATTTGACAATTCATAAAAAGTATTATTTTTAACTATTCGTTGGAAACTACTCTGTTCAGTAAAAACGTACGAACATTGTTCTTAAAGGTAATTCTTTAAGAAGTTAAGAATCCGTTTAAGTGTCTAAGAAATACTTTTATGAAGCCTTCTAAATCGAAATATGGTGGAGCGTGTTTTAAAATATATTATGGATAAAATAAAAGAGGAAGAAATAAGATTCAGGATAATTTGTAGAAGAGTACCAGTAACATAGAACCACATAACATAACATCACATCTCTTATCCCTGAAGAAGTAGGTAGGTAGGCAGAGGAGCGCATTACTCCGCTGTACAATGTAATACCCACTTTTCACTATTTATGTTATTAGGACCTTGTAATAGGGGGTGAACCTATTGCCATATACCGGGCACTACTACTACTGAGATTTTTTTAAACCCAATTATACTTTGCCCGACCCCTTAAGTCGCACTTGCGATCACTCTGCCAACGAGGCAGTCAGTAATATAGAGTATGTTGTGTTTGTTTATTTCATAAAGACCTTCCAAGCTCCGAAGAAGCTAGCCGAAGGTTCAGTAGACGAGACCCCTATTAGGCAGTCGGATTTACGCCAACTCGAACAAAAAGGACAGTTGGTTTTTAACACGTTAAACGCCATGGGGGTCACCGGTGACCGGCGTTAGCGGAGGATTTACCATCAACAGTTTTTTACTGGCAGTCAAAGTCTTAAGTCATAATGTAAATATTTTAAGGTAAAATAAAACACAATATTTCCTTACTTATTACTATATTCACTACACATATTCAGACGTGTGTGTGCGTGCCCACTTGAACTAAACTAATGAGTATTATAAGTACTAAGGAACAATCCTTTATCAGAAGCTAAACACTGAATGTGACAATTATTATTAACTACACTTAGTTTTATATAAGCAGAGATAAATATAAATTATCCTAAATAAGCTAGAATATCATTGTAACGATTAATCTCTTATACTAATTTCATTTCATGACGACACAACATTACCTCGTTAATTTTTTAAATATTAAAGAAACTACATAATAATTTTTAATATGAGTTACACGGCTATTAGTCTACGATATAATAGAGATTATATAATTTTTAAAATAGAGCACATTTTGGAAAATTGTAGTTTAGAATTTGAAGAGTTTTAATTACTTCTTGCCGCCTCCCTGACAGCATGGCTTGCCACCTGCGGAACACACAGAAGACTTTAAAATATCATCAAATATCAAAAAACAATTCCTTAAGTAAATATTTTTAAATAGAGAGTGGGAGAGCCATGCTTCGGCACGAATGGGCCAGCTCGACTCGACCGGAGTAATATTACAGCCTCACATCAGGGCCGCGCCGACCCCCGGCAGCGCCTGTGTGCGGAATCGATGGAGCGCCTCTTTTTTACCGACTTCAAAAAAGCAGGAGGTGCTATGTTCGGCTGATTGATTTTTTTTTTGTTCGCACATTACTCCGCCATTTGTACACCGATTTCCAAAAATCTTATTTTGTTTAAAAGGGTATACTCTCGAAATGGTCCCATTTCCATGAGCTCAGAATCTGATGATGGGATCCTAGGGAAACCGAGAGGAACCGAGGAGAACTTTCGAAAATTTTAGGGGCGAGTAATGAGTCTATTATGTTTTTCAATTACGATTTTTATACACTACAATTTGATAACGGTCTGGAGTCGACCTGATGATGGAGCCGACAGACAATCGAGAGAACTCCTCAGCTGTTTTTATTAACTACCCTATGCTTGGGCTTGATTAATTTAGTACAAACACAAGGTAGTTAATATAAACCGCTGAGGAGTTCCCTCGACTGTCTGTCGGCTCCATCATCAGGTCAAATCCAGACCCTTATCAAATTGTAGTGTTTAAAAATCGTAATTGAAAAACAAAATAGACGCAGTACTCGCCCATAGAATTTTCAAAAGTTCCCCTTGGTTTCCCTAGGATCCCATCATCAGATCCTGACCTCATGGAAATGGGACCATCTCGGGAGTATACCCTTTCAAACAAAACAAGAATTTTCGAAATCGGTTCACATATGGCGGAGTACTGAAAAAAAAAACAATCAGCCGAACATACGTACCTCCTCCTTTTTTTAAAGTCAGTAAAAAGTTCAATGCACACCTTACACACACTTTCAATCAAATGATTGTTCAATTGTTTTGTTTTAGCTTGACTCTCTCGTTCGTTAAAATCGGGGAATCCCTGTGACCCTACTCCTATAGCCTCGCACGCATCGCGTCGGGTTGCGTTCACAAACTCACTCATACTTACTCATACAAAGTCGGCGCCTTTATGATTCAATATAACTAGTAGGTACCTACTTTATCTGTGGTTCAAAAGATCTGCCGCCGTTTTAACGTTGATCTTGTAACTCGTAAGTAATGTAAACTAAAACCCTAAGTGTAAAATGAAACCATAAACGTGATTAATAATAAACATAAATATTGAGAGACTTGTTTAATAAGCGTAATATAAGTTTTGTTGTATACAAGGCCTATGTTGCGCCTATTGTACCTACTTACTTATCGATACTCTACTACCAAAAATATAATAATTAAGGTAACAAAAATAATTCAAGTAGAGGTGGTGGCGCGACACGGCGCCCCTATTGTCTTGGCGCCTGTGTGCGCCGCACACTTCGCACACAGGGGCGGCGCGGCCCTGCCTCACATAAAACCGACGTGAAACAATACTTGCAATGTGGTTCGTCATGTGAGTGAGGTTATCGTAGGCCCAATTCCCCCCTCCCAATGTCACCAATCTCCGAATCTCCAATAATTCTCAAATTCTTAATCCCCGTTACGCCGGTAATGCACTTTTAACACCTCTGTGTTTTAGGTGTCCATGGGCGGTGCCGATTGCTTACTATCAGGTAATCCGTCCGCTCGTTTATCAACTTATTCCATAAAAAAATGGAGAAGCTTTAATCAAAAACTTTGTTGCAATAAAATTTTAAAAGAAATATTGACAGCTTCTTCTACAAAATAATTTTTGATTAAGATTTAGACCTTCGTTAAAAAAGTAAGTACTTCAAATGA